GAAGGAAGTACTGGCATGATTGATAGACAACTTTTAATGATCGTTATTCTGAATATCATTCTGGTAGCTGTATTTCGTTTTCTGATTCATTTTTTAACACGCTTTTCACTCATATATTTTTATTGTGAGGGACACTGCTAGAATCATAAGATTACATTACCATAAAAAATAAAACTTTTTGCTTTCTTCATCACCTTTTTATAATCTCTACTTTGTTTTTATCTATTTATTTATTTTATTTTTTATTTTTTATATATATATTTTTTTTATCTTTTTTTTTTTCTCTCTCTTTTTTAGGCATTTGTGTATTTGTTTGTGGTGAACAACTTGTCGCAGTTTGTGGCCATGTACTGCTTGGTGTTGTTCTACAAGGCCATGAGGAGAGAACTCGACCCCATGTCGCCTCTTGCAAAGTTCTTGTGTATCAAAGCCGTTGTCTTCTTCTCCTTCTTGTAAGTATGGAAAAATGTGTGATTTTCATTTTCATTTTAGAAAAAATATAGAATCCATTATTATTCTAAATTTTCTATTTTCTGAAAGCTGTTGTCTTCTCATTCTTGTAAGTATGGAAAAAGGTGTGGTGTTTTCTGTTTCATTTTAGAAAAAATGTAGAATTCACTATTATTCTAAATTTTCTATTTTCTGAGATTGGCATGATCAGTTATAAATGAAAAGAAAAGTGAAGATATAGCTAGGCTGATTGATCTTTATACTATTTGACTTCCTTTTTTAGAAAAATCCATGGGTAAGAGCTCATTTGCAACAAATATATATTAAACCTGTGTAGTTTAGTAATTTTTTCTTCTTCTTCCCTATATCTATAAGTAAATTAAATTTCAGTGTATTTATTAAAATTGATATTTCTTTCTTTCAGTCAAGGTGTGGCCATCATGTTCCTTATGAAAGCACAGTTCATGCATAACTTGTTTGGAATAGTTGACGACAGTCCAGAGAGTGAAGCGAAGGAGAGGAAGACTGCTAGTATCCTCCAGGTAATGGCATGCAGTGGGTCATACCTCCTGTTTTAAGGTGTTTTATGGAAAGGATTCTAATTCATTTAATCCCAAAATCAGCATATACAGTTGTGTGTGTGTGTGTGTGTGTGTGTGTGTGTGTGTGTGTGTGTGTGTGTGTGTGTCTGTGTGTGTTTCTGTGTGATGGGGTGGGGTGTACTATTACTTATTCTAGAAATTTTGATTATCACACTAGATGGGGTGGGGTGTACTATTACTTATTCTAGAAATTTTGATTATCACACTAATTAGTGCAAGAGCATACACATCTTCCAGTTGAGAAAAAAATCATTGATTAAACCTCTTTCCACGTTTATTTTAGAATTTCCTGATCTGCATAGAGATGTTCATTGCTGCTGTGGCGCACCATTATGCCTTCTCCTACAAACCTTACATGGATGAAGAGTATGAGACTGGCAACTGCTGCCACACTTTCCTCCTTATCTGGGACATATCTGACGTGCGTTCCGACATCAGGGAGCATGTTTATGTCGTCAGTAAGTATGGGACGTTTTCCCTTGCTCTCGTTATTTATTTTCTTTGCTTTTCTCTCTTTTGTAGAATTGTTGGATAATGTAAAATAAATTTGAATTTATCAGAAGCAAATATAGGTATCAAGATCAAGCAAAGCAAACATACACCAACTTATTTATTAATTTATTTTATTCAACAAACTTTGCAAATTCCCAAAGGTGAAGGCATGAAGCGGCGCCTGACTTCACGAGGGGGGGGATGGCCAGGGGGAGCCACTGCGGTCGGTGGAAGTAATGGGGGAGACGAGCACACACGCCTTATTGCCCCCCACGCCCACTCCGGCTCTCAGGGCACGCATCGTTACATGTCCACTTCGGACTCTGAGCACGACATTGTCATTGAACAGGTAAGGCTTTGTATTTTTCTTTGATGTGGTGTGTATTTTTTTTTTCTTTTTCTTCTCTCCTTTTCTCCTACTTCCTCTCTCATCCTTTCCATACTTCATTCAGGTTTATATATATTTGATATTCATTTTCTAACATAACATTTGAAACATAAACATAAAAAAAAAAAAAAAAAAAAGAAAAAAAAATCATGAGTTAAAACATGGTTAAACTGCAATCTTTCCTGTTAAAATATACTACCTCAAATAATTTTTTCTTCCTTTCTTTCTTTTTTCTTTGTTTCTTTATTTGTTTGTTTTCTTTCTTTTTTTCTGTTTTTTTTTTTTTTTTTTTTTTTTTTACCGTCTTGTCAATCTACAGGGCGAGGGATCAGACCCAGAAGACATGAAAGCCATATGACACCCAACAGTCCCTCGGCCCGGCACTGTGGTATAAAGCGGGTGAGGGTGTCACTTTGTGTCGGAGAAGCACTACGCCGCACACTCCTACACAGGTAGACAAGAACCAAGCTTGGTCTAGTGAGAAGTATTCTGTGTGCGTGTGTCTGTGTAAGTCTGCTACACAGGCTTCAGATTTTGTATTCTATTTTGTTAGTATTTTTGCTATTATGGTTACAGTCTTTTAGAAGAGAGAGAGAGATGATTCTGGGGCTTCATCTGATGTGAAAGTGAATTTGACTTCTGCTTAGAAATGCATGGATTGGCAATGAGATTTTATGCAACCATTGCATTTCCCTTCCCCCTCCCCCCCTCCCCTCTCATTTTTAACTCCTTGTTTAGAAGTGGAAATGTAGTTCAGTAGATAAGATATCTGTATGAAACTGAAGTGTTAAAACACCAAAGCTGTATATGTATATTAAAAGTGCCCATGATGTTAGCTTAAAAAGTATCTCTTATAAATCTTATTATATATTTACCAGTAACTTGTAGCTAGTCAAAAATGTAATTTTGTAGCTAATAAGGAAAAATAACAAATCACATTTCACTCGTAGAACTATTTCTTTTTTTATAAGAAAATGTATTTATTATATACATTAAACCCACTTGCCTCCAGACAGATGATTTTGTTGTCATATTTTATCTTATAGACAAATTACAGTGAGCAAGAGCCAGAATTTTTCAATGATGATATTACCTCCAAAAGTTATTTTAGGTTAAGGATTGTGATTCAAGAAATAAGTGGATGGGAACTAAAGTGAAATCAGCATAATGTAATGGGAGTTATTGGATAATTGTTTAATTAACATGAGGAATAATGTATTTTGTTTTGGCAAGAATCCTGAATCTACTTTCTCTAAACAATATATGATATTTATATTGATTCAGTATCGCAACCCACATTGAATTATTACATGTCACACTTGACGAAATAGGCATTAGGCGGTGCAGATGAAAAGCAAAATACAGGACCATATATCAAAAAAAAAAAAAAAAAAAAAAAAAAAAAAAAAAAAGTTCCTAGATTATTCAGACATGTCTCACGTATACGAGTTAAGGCGCATAACAAAATTTACAATATTAAATGTACCACAGGTTTATCCTTTTATGTACATGCTGATTTGACAGTTGATATGAGCTGGAATCATTTATCACTTCTCATCAAGTTTTTATTTTTGGTTACAACAGATATATGTAAAATGAAAATCAAGGCTCTGCTTTCCTTGCTTTGAGCGTTGATGGATCGTCAAAGTATTGTACTTAGTGTATAATGAATAATGTGATGCCAAAGGCAGTGTTAATCTTGGACTGTGAGAGTATTTTACTTAAGTAATTCCTAATATACATATATATATATATCAGTAATATAAAGGCAACATTGAGGTTACAAATTAATGAGGAATAGCAATTCTTAAGAAGGAAGGATTCTTAAGAGGTAATGATTAAAGTTAAGGAACATTATTATTTTTCCTTTCTTTTGTTTCTTTTTATTCTAATGTATTTATTTATATATTTATAGGTTTTATTTATCATTGTATGTCAAAAGTTTTTGTGTGTAGATATTTCACAAAACATACACACAAAAATGTGGAAAAGAATGTTTTCAAATATTTGTATTTGTAAGTATCTGGTAACTTTTTCTAAATTTGAATTAAAACACATAAAAATAGATTATTGTAATAGACCCTAAACACTTCTGTAATTATCACAGTTAATTAATGGTACCTGCAGATAGGTTAAACGGTTTTAGGCAAATAATCATCTTGCATGAGTTAGCTTGGTGATTTTTTTCCCCATTTTATGTTTTGTTGGACTCTTTTATCAGCTGCTAATATATAAGAGACAATTACTTTAGTTTTATTGCATCATATACCAAACAACCCCATTGTCACATCTAAAAGATTCAAGGTAAGAAGTATTCTATAGTGTTAAAGTTTTGGATAGGAGTTGTCTGTTATTTTTTACCTCATGAATTCATTCATCTTAATTCACAAACAAGTTAACCTACTGTCTACTGTGATTTTGTTTTACTAATTTTGATTGCATGGACATGACTCTACAAGGACATATTCAAGTCAGTTACTAAACCTGCCTGGCCTTACCCATGTATGCCATTCCTTGAATTTTGAGAAAGAAAGATTGTAACTTTATTACTATTATTACTATTAATGTTATAATGATAATGATAATTCAGATGGTTATATTAATATAAAGAACGACTATGATTAGTACTAGAAATATAAACTAGGCAATTAGAACTCAAGAAATGGTTTGAACAGGTAAGATTATGTTGGCCTGGTAATCAACTCCTAAGTGTTTTTGATGTTATCTCTAAGTACACAAGATAAAACAAAACTACAGTGGACTTCCATGTACCTAGCACCAGTGGGTTAACATATTGGTACCGGGTACATGTACTGTCCACTGTAGTTTCATGAATTTCGTTTGCACACAGAAGGCTTTACAATTGCTAAGCCAACAAAGAGTCAATATGTAGGTCTTATGTAACCTCACTTTATTTCCCTTTTCCTTGAGTTTTTGAGAAAAGTTTTTTTCTTAATGCTATTAATGTCAGTGCTGTTATTATTATTATGGATGTCATGATTATGACAATTCTATTAATAATGCTATTAGCAATAAGCAAGTGGAGAGCCATTTGTGTGTAAAAAAAAAGTTGGTAAATTAAAATCACAGTGGGCATAGAATATATGCCAGCCACCCAGGCATCAGTGAGTTAATTTAATGTATACAGTAGAGATATGCCAGTACCAATACTGGTTTCAGTGCCCACTTTTCAACCAATACTCCGATATCCTGATAATAACCAATGGCTGAAGATGCATGGATAACAGTATCAATACAAGAATTTTGATTTTTATTAACAATTTACCTGTGATTATTAAGAATGTAAAGGTACATTCACATGCACTTTAGAAACAGGGAAGCTAGATACAAATACTTCATGAAATTTGAAAGTTCTGTATTATTAGAACCCAAGAACTATATATATTTGTGGCCTTTTATCCAGTATCCACCAGATTATTTAGCTTGAGAGTCGGTACCCTGATAGTCCTGACATTCTAGTCCTGACATATCAACTACCAACATGAAACTGTCTTGAGTTATGTAATAAAGCAAACAGAAAAGTAAAAAAGAAAAAAAAACAATATTTTTACCTTGTCAGTACCTGTATCAAAACCAAAACTACTAAATACCCAATGCATTTCTAATATGCAGTGCTCAAATCATTATAAAACTTAAAGGAAATCATCATATATTAATGCTTCAAAAAGAGAAACTGTAATAAACAAAATACACTTTGAATCTACTTATATATTGCCTGAGTAGGTGACTATGTACTCATGTTATGGAGCTGATTTTATAGAGCATTGGAAATAGAATCCTAGTGATACAAAACATGTAGTTTCAAGAATTTTCTGTTAGAATATAGTCAGCTTACATTTTTGAAATCTGTATGTATTATCACAAAGTATGAGAATATTTATTTTCCAAAGATATAGTATCTAGAAAGGCATTAACCTGTGATGCATTCTTATGTAGATTGTGTTTGTGAAATATTATGTATAAAGACATAATCCGGGATTGTATGTAATGACTTATTCAGCATGGTAAAAGCTGCTTGTTCATCATAACCTTCAAAGATATGAGTATTTGTGCACCTCTAATTTTTTTTTATTGCAGATAATATTTTTTTTTACCACTCTGCCTAACGTCCATCCTTTGGAAGATGGTAAATTTAAATTAGATTTAGATAAATGCAAACATATTTTAGAGTTAATAATGTATAGTTTATAAGAATCACATTTGTCTTGAATTTGAAACAGAAAAGAGATGAATTTGATGGTGATAATGAAAATATGATAAATTTACTCAAAGCATAATTAGAATTCATACTTTCCAAAAACAAAAGTTCCCTTGTTTCATCTGCATGATGAATATCCTTAAATTTTTCATCAAAGATTAATCCAGCACACTAAATAGTTTTTATTGTTATGGATACTTAGCAAACATGATTGGTACATTCCAATGTACAACCACTGCGCATTAAGACATTAAGGATGTCATTGCAATAGTCTTGTTTCGGACAAAAAGAAACTCTCATAAGGGAGACATTGAATCTGAATGGAGAAGATGAAGGGGTTTGTTGCTTAAAATGTAAGTTCGGTTTTTGCCACTGCATCACCACCAAAATGTGTTTTCAAAAAGATATATCGATATCAACAATGGGTCTTGTATAATAAACAGACAAGTTAAGTAAAGTTATACCTTTTCTGTGTTTAAGAATATGTTCAACATTACTGGTAATATATAAGTGAATAGTACACATTTAGTACAATTGTTGCAGTAATTTGATTGAAATAGACAGTATGTTTTAAAATTTAAATATATTTTGTTAAAAGAAATATATGCATTATATGTGAATTAATGTGGATTAGCAGAAGACTGCTCCATAAAACTATTGTTAAAGAAAATATTTTCTTGATTACTAATGCTTTGTTTTCCTTATTAGTATGACTCCATGTTGCTTATGTGATTCTATTGATGTTTCAGTTAAAATGCTCTTATCAATAAAATATATTGATGTTTTTTATGACTGTCCTCACTTTTCTTTTCCTCTCTCCTTCCTCCATCTGTTATAGTGGACTGCATTTTCATCCACAAAGTTTGTGGCCAAATAGATTATTGTGATACTTTACTTGAACAGTTTTTTTTTCTTTTCTTTTTTTTTTCTTTTCTTTTTTTTTCTTCCATGGTGATCTTACTCTTCTATTTTTTTTTTTTATTCTCTTAAGTTTTGCTTTGGCCTGGTCTGCTCAATGCTTAGGTTTGCTTAGAATTTTACATTAGTCTTTATTAGGAGCAAAAAGTGTTCCCAGCTGCTAACAATCATGTTTTTTCCTTTTTGGTTTTCTTATTTAGTCATTCTCTCTCTCTCTCTCTCTCTGTCTCTCTCTCTCTCTCTCTCTCTCTCTCTCTCTCTCTCTCTCTCTCTCTCTCTCTCTCTCTCTCTCTCTCTCTCTCTCTCTCTCTCTCTCTCTCTCTCCCCCCTCCCTCCCTCCCTCCCTCTCTCTCTCTCTCTCTCTCTCTCTCTCTCTCTCTCTCTCTCTCTCTCTCTCTCTCTCTCTCTCTCTCTCCCCCCCTCTTCCTCCCTCCCTCCCTCCCTCTCCCTCTCTCTCCTTCTCTCTCCCTCTCTCTCTCCTCTCTCTCCCTCTCCCCCTCCCTAACCCCTCTCCCATTCTCACTCTTACTCACAGTCAAATCTAAATGTGAAAATCTAGGCATGGTCTAGCATACCGTAGTGTTGAACAAAAATCTATACAAAATCTATACAAAAGAAGTGCCAAGTGTCTAAGTGAAACACAACATAATCTCCTTGATGTAAGACCACACAAGAACTAAGGCCATAAGGGGACTGCTATCTTCCGATACACAGCAAATACTCTCACGTCAAATGAATTTACACATGTGCGTAAACATTTTCTTTTCTTTTCTCATTTACTTCCATTTTGCTTGTTTTCACCTTTTTATAAACTCATTAAAAGATTAACCCATTGCTGCTGGGGAAAATGAAGAAAAAATGGGGAAAATGCTGTACTCATTTTTTATATTTTTATGAAATATATTTACATAGATGGCTCTGCTAGTCCTGATTTCAGCTTTTCTTGAATTGGCGGGAAAAAACGTATTCTTACTAGTGCTATAAATATAGATGGTGTTATTTTTAACAGCAAATTAGGATAACATTATATATATTTTCGTAAATCAATGAAAAGGGTGAACAGGTGAGACAGGCAGTACTCGTAATTGGCTCAACAATCGAACAGGTCGACTCACAGTGAGCATGGCATGTACATACATGCCATCCCCGGCAGCAATGGGTTAATAGCATTTATTTTTCAGGCAAATAGTTATTCCTATTACCCTTGATATTTTAACAAAGGCTACAATGCATATTCAAACAATCTGTAATCTTTTTCAGTTGTGGTAATGATTGTGACACTAGCAACAATTCTGATCATTGTTGCATTTCAAGAAATTCATGAGGTTTAGGGGCAAAAAAAAAAAGAAATTACTTGACAATTAGCAATATTCATTTTGTATCTTAAGACTAAAACCGCATATTAGTCTGTTGTATTGGGACCACTTTGGCAAGTAGGAGGCTTTCCTTTTTGTTTTCTTTTACAGCTCACTTTAAGCATATCAGATATTACATAGAAGGATAATGGTGAATGACATATTCCTAAAATTTGATAGTAGAGTGAGATAGTGAATGAAGTATTCTTGATAAAAGATATTATAGGAAAAGGAAAGGAGTAAGGTGAAATCTGATGATAAAATTCTATGAATAACAGTATCATATTTATCTTATTTATCTTGCTGCTGGTTGATGCCTGCAAAGAGTAATAAAAATCACTTGTATTTATTTCTTTATATAAAAGGACTCCATGTTATATAGTAAGAAAGGAAGTCAGTGTGACTGTCATTTGTGATATAGATATGAATTTATTGTAGTTTACATTTCTTGGTTAAATAGTTTTAAAACAAAAATTTTGTTGTAACTTATCTGTAATGCAGTATAACGTTTCCTTAAAGTCCTACTGATTGTGATAGCTATAACAGTATTATGTTGCATGTGAAAGTGTAACACATTTACTTTCATGTAGTTTGATAATGATATTTTTGTTAATGCATTCCCTTCACCTAATTATTTTGTTCAGGCAATAGCTATATAAATATGATTATTTTTAACATGATGATTCATACTGCTGAAGTCATTGATATATTGTAAATTCTGTAGTTGAGTGGGAAAAGAAATATATGTTAGTTGCTTTTTTATGGATTGTGACTGAATTACTACAAGAAATTTTATATTTCGGATTTGTTCTTCGATTTCAAAATTACAGATTACATTACTAAATCTTATTCATATTTTCGGTGGGAAAGTTAATTGAAAAAAAATACTAATACTAATACTAATGAAATATAGCAGTGCCATTTAAAAGTATTAAAACAAATGCCCAAGGCGAGGTACATAATTCAAATTTGAAACAAAATGTTAGTATTCTAAATGATCAGTCTGAAGGGTTATCTAGTCTTTAGATTTATGTGAATGACCTAAGTATGTATACAATTTCTACATCATTAAGATTTGTAGCTAGTAGTATAGGAAATGGTTGGGATCAACAAGAAAAGGTTTTTGTCAGAAATGATAGACAAGAAAACTTTTAAGATTTTTAATAACAAAACACTCTGCCCTGTTCATACTGTGGTTAAAAAAATTAAAGGTGTTCTCTGACCAATGTTAAATGAATTTCTCAAATAATTTGTTATTTAAAACTTTCCTCTGTATCCTAAACTTTGATATGTTCATTTAAATGCAGTACAGCCATGAGTTTGTAATGTATTGATATGAACATATTTATCCTCATGTTACAGATGAAAGTTTAAACTATCAAAATATTTTATAAAAGCGCTTTTTAGGCAACGGCTCTGAGGAAACCTTTGGACGCACATGCCCTTATATGGCCACTGGCTACAAGCTGGGCTGAAGACCTATAAAAATTACAGAATGGTTGCTTTATTGATTATGAGGAATTAATAGTGTATAACAGATTGTACTACTGCCATATAATGCACTATAGAATTACATAATTGTGAATATTACCTAAATGTTTACATATTTGTTTTATTTATTGATTGAATTATTTCTGCCATGTCAACAACTAAGTGGCAACTACAAAATATTGTAATAGTGGGTCAAAGGCCCCAGGTTAAGCTTTTTGGTTCAGTAAGTCAATGTTTGTGGATTTCCAGAATTGTCAGTGGTCAAAAACAAATGTACCAGGCATCAAAGGTTACACAGCATTATGGTAAAGTATTGTGGCAAAAAGGGTAAATATGATTTAATAATTTGGGTAAGTGGACAGAAGAAAAGGATGAAGAAGAGAAGAAAAAGGAAAGAAGGAGAGGAAAAGACCCTGCTAAGTTAGTTGAGGCGAGAGCTGAGGTCCAAGACAGGGGTGATCTCTACATTGGGCCTCAGTCTCCGCCTCCTAATCCCACCCACAGCAACAACGAGCAAAGGATGGGGGGGGGGGGTATACAAAAAGAAAGCTTCAAAATGCCCAAAAATAATAAGATTTTTCTTTCTTTTTTTTCACTTATTATGTCTCTTAATTCAACCAGCATCATCAGGCAAAGTATGTCAATGTACTGAAAGAGCCAGCAGTGATAAGCTCATGTTTGTTGATTTCTTATTATGACCTTTAAAGTTCAACTGCCCTGATGACCTTAGAGTGATTTACTTAATTGGCATCTAATGCACTCGCATTCTCCTCGCAAAAGTTGCATGAATATTTAATTTTATCAGTAAGGGTTGAGAGGAAAAACCCACTGTACAATCAGGTAATGATCCTTATTTTCTGCCATTTTAACAGCACATTAGTGTTTTCTATGCATCTGTGATTGACCTGAGGGTGTATTAGACATTATGTAGAATATGAAAACTAGGGTATTCATATCCTTCTGTCCTTTTTCTTTATATTCCTTTATAGGTTTTACAACAGTCTGTAATGGCATTTTGAATCTTTGACCTTCACTTCCACTTGGATGTTTCCCTTTATATCATCTCAAGCGGGAAATTTAGTGTACACAGATGTGACCTTGATTTATGCGGTTTTATTTGCTGTTTTAGCTATGTAAAAGCAAATTATACAAATATTTTCTTGTTTCTTGTTTCTTGTTTCTACTTTTTCTTTATTTTATTTTTGTTGTTGATGATGTTGATTTTAATGTTTTCTCATATGTTACTTTGCTAATATTTGGCATTTTTTTCCAGTAACATTACAAGTACCAATAGAGCTGAATTTGTGGATGATTTATTTAAATATGAGTAAACAGTCAATCATCTTGCACATCTAACATCTCATATACCTGTATGTATGATGTAATTCATGAAGTCACTGAGAAACTGAAAAATTATATTGTAAACAAATTTCAGTAGTCTACAAAAGTAGTTGCATTACAGTAGCTCAGTTCAAACGTCACGCAGTGTTCAATTACTCATATAATCTATCAGTTATTGATGGAAATAGTTGTACATGGAGTCACATATATATAGAGTCACAAACTAAATAAAGCCATAAAGTAGGAAATAGAGTTAGCCTTTATTATAAAAAAAATAGCAAATCATAGAATGAGTCATTACATCCCTACCACAACCACAGTGATGGTGTGCGAGTCAGACGGCTGCCGCACCTTGATGGTTCATCTTCCATTGTAACATCATAGAACCAAGGCTCAATGAGTTTAATTACTTCATGTTGAACTTTATCACGGTGGACTACTGCATCATTTTCCAGCTGTTGTGCTAAAGTATTTTCTTTTAGACTTTCCGTTTTTTTCTGTTTTTTTTTGTTTCTTTATTTTTATTAGTCTTTAGTTATTTTTCTTTACTATGTTCTTTCATTGCTAATTTGCTTATCTTTCTCTTTTATTACTCGGCATTCATACAAACCAGATATATCCAGAAGAAATATTCATGTCTATACATCTCTCTTCGGTCTTCCCTTAAGTGGTGTAGAACTACAGTTCTGGATATAAATATTGTTTATTATGCATTACTCTCATTTGAAATTATTTACAGTTTTATTATTCACATTATGAACAATTATTAAACATATTTTAAAGACCTGATATACTAGTTATAACCAGTATCATTTCATTGGTATTATTGGAATATGTTTCATTTAGCATTATTACTCTTATAATATGCTTTTTTTCCATAATTATCATTATCATATTCAAAGAATTAGGATTAATAAACAAACATAAATAACTTCTTGCCAGCAGTGTGCCAAAACAGAAGATAACAATTAGAGTTAATTATTTCCCTTCACAAATGTTCCCGTTTAGGAAGCTGCTAAACTTGATGTGCCTCTCAAAATAGTTTAGTTTCTCATCATCGTTAGAGAAATATTAGCACAGAGAAAAAAAGTTGTACATTCTGCACTTCTGTATGCTCAAATGTTAGGAAATTTCAACTGCAAGTGTATAGTGTAAAGTTAGGATTTTAAGGCTGTATTTGTGTCATTTACAGCATAAAAATAGAATGAATGAATAAGTAAAAGCAAGGTTAACACACCACCAAAAAAAAAAATCCTTGTGTCTATCTTTCTTCTTAAGTAGCTAGCTTGTAGAATAACTTTGTTTTTGTTTTAAAAATCTGTGCCTTTAAACAATGTTTGCGTTGCTAAACTGTGCAAACTAAATGTCGTTTCACTGAAAAGCTGTAAATCACTTGAACTTGATCATTAGATTGTTTATGCTTAAATTTTAGATTAAAACTCCTCTAAAACGTACGAAAGGAATAGAGTCTGTAAAACTGTTCTTCACGCAGATTGACTAGGCAAATTCAACCTGATGTTCAAGCATATAAACACAATGAACACATGAAATTTCATGTAGGACTCAGTCATGCCTGTTCTGCAATTGGATATTTAAACTGTATTTGTATTAAGGCATGTCCAGACAAGGGGGCCTAATCAGTGGGCATGTACTAAGAAGGGGTGTCTGAGGCAGGCAAACTACTAGCAAAACAGCAGATTTGTGAGTGGAATCAATTGTTTAGCCAATAGTGTGACTGCAGCTAATGCCCACCATGCCCACTCCTCTGGATGTGCCTTTAGAAAGCTCATTTTTCTCCATTTACACATTTCACATTAATGCACCTTTCAGAAGTAAATCAGTTTAGTGATCTCCCATGTTCATGATAGATATTTCACTGTAAAGCCTTGTACCGACCTAAATACACAAGACTATACTACTGAATTTTTTGTATTGTAGAAATAGGATGTGATGTAGTGACAGGCCTGATGTATTTGTACCATCTGTTGTTGTCGTTCTTATGCACTGTATAAAAAATGTAACTTAAAACTTAACTTAAAAGGTAGGTTTATCAAAAGGAGACCCAGGTTTGACCTATTGTAGGTCTGGATCAAGAGTTTGGGAAATGTATGTTAAGTAATTTTATTATATGAGAGATGGGAAGAAAACTTTTTATTAACAGGACTGTGAGAAGGAAAAGCTGTCCATCTATTGAAATTCTTTTTCCTCCTTAATTTTCTGTACAAGGCCCTGTCCACATGATCAGAGTGCCCAGCAGATTTTTCCCCATTTACTGAGAAATAACTAATTCTTCATACACAGAAGGGTGCTGGTATCTGACAAGGTTGTCCATCCATACCCAGCAGCAAATAGTTATACTATATCTTATCTGGTGATTTTTGCTCAACCATGGGTATGAGCATTCTTGGTTTGCCCAAACAATGGGTATTAAGCATATGTCTGTCAGTCAGTGCTCGATCTTGTGGGTGAGGCAGAAGAAATAGTCCATTTTATATAATGTACTTGAAGTTTTTGTTATTCTGAATATCCCAATAGTATGACTTTGTTATTGGTTTGTCAGATGGTACAATTGATTGTTACAATCTCAAGAAAAAGAAGAAAATAGCCAACATCAAAAAATTCTCAGTCTGTATTCTATAAGTTGTAGAAATAAAAAATGAATGTATATGAATTTCTGAAATTTCACCATTAACCTATCGAATCTGCAAAAACAAAGATTTGCAAGTTAAAAAAAATGATTTTAATGCTTTTTTTTTTTTTTTTTTTTAAGCTGGATACAAAATAAGGTTATTGTGTGGATAAGGAATAAGTCATGCTTGTGAATACAGTAGATACAGAATGGTTTAAAGATAACTTCAATTTCTATTACTGGAAAATAATATCAATACCTCTCCTCTTAAAACCATATATTTAAAACGGTGGTACCAATTCAATTGAATTTTGCTGCCTCTTTATACCATTGTGAAGACCTCTGCCTCAGCTAAAAATTATATAACTAAAATTATACTTTTGGTAATCATACAATATATAGATCTGCCTTTTTATTCTCACTGGTATCAAAATACAAATCCACTAAGACATGCTGAGTATTAGAACATGTTCCTTTTGTAAATGAACCTGCATCAGAAATGATAAAAAGGAAAAGGCGGCGAATGATACCAATTTACTTACAAATCATTTCGAGAAAGAGAAAAAGAAAAAAGAAAAAAAATAAGATGTAATGCAAACATCCACTGGTTACACACAATATGATATGTTTATGCCTTAAGGCCATAGGTACTAATCAGCTGTTCGGCCTTTGCCACGTACGCCTCCATGGCTGCCTCCTTGGCCATGCCCTTCTTACTGCTCCAGGCGTCCCACTTTGCCTTTCCTTTGAAGTCCAACATGCCTGGCCTCTCTGTAGGGGAGAAAAAATGACAGTTTCACTTAAGGGGCTAAAATAGAATTTACATTTTAAGTTCAATTTTGATATGATCCACTTAAGAAACACACTTTAAAAAATGATAAAATGAATGTGTATATGATTAAGAAATAGTCATGTGGTGAATGACTCATACATTACATTATCTTAACGCTCAATATCTGTCATCTTGGTTCCTGTATTATCAGACAATTTACTCGAGAGGAGTGATAAGCAATGTTGGACTTAATATATCACATTATCACTGGTAATTTTGATAGCTGCTGTTACACTATCATGCTAATCCTCTTAGTCCAACTTGTTACTCTGCCTCTAAATATTTAACATTATAAAAGGTTAAATAATCATCATAATCTCCTGTTTGTAAATCATAAACCTAAATAATACAAAACTTCACACTAAAAAAAAATCTTATCCTTGTACTACTAACAAGATATGGAATCTTATTGTACAAGTATTTTGCCTTTAGTTATATGAAATTGTTGACATTGTGAGTAACAAATCAAGATCCTAATTTCTATCCAATCATAGTAACAATGTGAAACTCAAGTTCATTTAATTCCCATTTTAACATTCCAAAACTCATTTCTCAATTATCACATTTGTACACTCAAGGACAAACTTCTAGCAAGACATTTCCAAGCCCTATCACAAATAATCCTTTGTTGCAAATGTTATCAGATCTGATACTTAGAGATTAATACAGATTTTCCACTCCAATGTAATATGATCTTGTGATCACACTTATCTTTAAGAAAGATCTCCAAGTAGAAACCATGCCTTTTCTATAACTGGAGACAATACATTAAAAAAAATAATAATTTAACAAAAATAAATAAATAAATAAATAAAAAAACTCTGGCAGCATTCTTTCAATATATGAAATTTTAGTTAAACCATCAGGTTTTGAAGAATAACTTGCCTGTGTTAATATCTCCGACTGTTGCCTGCTTGTAGAGGGAATAGATTTCCTTAAGTTCGTCGTCAGTTGGCTGCTGCTGCAGGTTCTTGACCTGCTCAGCTGCCTTGTTAAACTTCTGGAAATTAAAGAAAATTTTAATGATAGAATAACATGCATAGCAATATAGCTAAAGAACAGGAGTAAAGGAGAAAAACTAAAACAAAAATTAGATGTAACACAAGAGCTTGTCATCATACAAGGAACCAGTTTAAACCAAAAGTCTATTGGAAATGAATAGGAGAGGTCAGATAGCCACTGCCAGAATTCGTGCAGTCCCACTTAGAAGAATTGCCACAGTATGTATATTGTGAACTTTTTTTTCATATTATTGAAGCATCTCTGCTTTCAAAGAACACAGATCAGTTTACTTACAAATAAAGTTTTAAAATCTTGTATCAATTCTTTTCAGAACATTCATAATGACCAACAAGTGCCTTAACTATTCTGTTATGGAATTCCTTTTATATAGGATTCCCTTTCCTCTATTCCACTGATTTATTATTCATCACTTTGTGCCAATCATTTTGTGCCAACTTTCTGCTTACGCCATTGGAATGTATCCAAGTTGTAGTACATCAATAATTCAAGTCTAATGTGGTTCTCCATGTCTAGTTCTGTAACTATGCTAAGGAATGCTTAATATGAAGAAACTTTGTTCTTGACATCATCATTGAGAAATAAATACAGGTGTATTAATAATTCAAGGCTTGTCATGACTCATTGGCACTGGTATCATATGCCATCTTTACTATAGAAAGAATAAAAAAAAGATTGTTTGCATCTGAATACATTTTACTACTATCTTCATAAAACCACTGTGGGGAATCTATGTTTCTGAGTCTTCTATAAAAAACAGAAAACCATCAATACTAAAGAATTTGGAGAAATGATTTGCAGCCCCTTGTAGTTGCATTAAGTGCTGTTAAGGTATCTATTCATGACATTTCTTTAATTCACAGAATCACGAGTTAATTGACATGTATTCACTCTCAATCCTATTACTCTAAGCAGTAGCAAAAGGCATGGTTATTTAAATCCTTCTAACCTATTCGAATCCTGTTGAAATAAAATCTTATGCGTGTGGTGATACAAAGAACAAATAATGAAAATTCCGTGAGAAACGACACCGCTTTCTCAAGAACTACAAAGGAATCCCACCCATGGAGTACAAAGGCAACAGACAGACATTCCTGAGCACGCCCTCCCCGTCTCATGCAGAATGCGTGTCCGTCCTATCGATTTTTCAGACACGCAACGAACACCCTTTTAAAACACTTCCTGTCTCCCACATACAAACCCACTTCCCCCAACGCCCACGAGACACCTCTTTCCTTAAAACCATACAGGGTACTTTTGAGAAAAGTTTCCCCCCCACCTCTTCCAGAGACATGGTGACTTGGTCCAGCAACGGTGTGTGTCTTGAGGAGATCGACGTCCTTCTGCCGGCGAGAGGTGGTTCCTCGCTCGCCCGCCGCCGCACCCCGCCCTCGCTTGCCGGACGGTGGGGACATCCATCTCTATCTTTTTTTTCTTGGATGTACCGGGATTCTAAATGTGTTATTTTGCTTTCGTGTGGTGGTTGTATTTTGCGTCTGCCGTTCCGTGTGGGTTTGGTTTTCGGTTTCGCGAGGGTTGGGTAGGTTTGGTCGTGTTGTTGTTAGGGGGTTGGTAGCGTGTAGCATCTACCACGCGGCGAAGAACTTTGAAACTGCTTGAAGAAATGTGGAGTGATGGTCCCTGATCGCTTTCAATTCACATAGCAGCATTTGTAAGTCTATCTCCTATAGTCTTAACTCTGAGCATTTACTCAAAGGTTTACAATAAAAAATACCATCATGTGTGATCAAATGATGTACTTC